AGCAGGAAACGTCCAGCTGGGTGAACACTGTACTGCACTGGGGAGACTTAACCGTCTTGGGAAATATCAGGATCTGAAGCTCAGATCTGGTTCACAGTCCGGATGGACCGAACATGAGAGATGATTGGAAGATCATCTGAAAGGTGAAATCAGAAGGTTCTTTCTATTTTTATTGTTTCAGGCTGATCAGTGGCGTCACTTTGGAGCTTTCTAAAGAAAAGTGTTGTTGTGGTTCAGACCGTGAACAGATTTCTGTTGAATGTATCAGCACTCCTCAGCACGAGTCCTGTCTCTGTGACAGGAAGTAAAGGTTTTCTCAGGACTTTGGTGTTAAATTAAGACAAGACTCTGTGTGTCGTCTCTAACTCTGATCGGTGCAGGACTCCCCCAGCGAGGCAGTGGGCGGGACGTGATCTCCAAAAAGGCGACCCGGCTGTACCATCACGTCGGAGACAAACTGCTGGTGAAACAGTACTCTGAGATGGGAGTGATCGACCCGCAGCAAGAGAAAAGCCTCAACAAATGGCTGGAGAAAGGACGGCTCTTCTCCGACAACACGCCAGAGTATCACGAGCTCTGCGACGTTCTCAGAGCTTTGAAAGAGAGTCGGGACTTCAAGTGAACATGACGGAAAACAGACGAGTGACCACATGTCAAAAAACAACTGCAGAGACACAAAGTGTCCACGACGCAGAATCTCTGGTCAAATCACTGATGAACTTCTCAGAAGTCAGATTTTAACTTCTGTTCTGTCATGTTTTTAACTTTCATATAATTATTCTGTTGGTTTTATTTTCCAACTTATGCATCTAACTGCACTGTTAGTGATGTTCTGGTTTTATCAAGTTTATTGTTAGATCAAATATCTCTGTAACGCCTGGTGCTACATGAAGAAGCTATTAGTAGTAATAATGTTGGTCATCGTTGTGACTGATGTCCTCACAGCTCTGCCTCGGCCACGGCGATGCACCACCAACACACTGGACAAAGGCCCATGTGACTACGGAGCAATATCATACTAACCGTAAGCATAATAGCAATACCATAATAACCCTAACCCTACTGCTCTCCTGCTCAAACCCTTTGAAATGGGGTTCATATTTCAGTGCCACTGCAACAGTATTTATTAATTCTGGAGCTTTGGCTTCAACATTTCTACCACATTGTGTCATATATTTTCCTGAAAACGTGCTTTATAGAACACAAATACTTTATTAATCCCCGAGGGTAAATCCTGTTGCTACAGCAGACAGAGTGAAGTCACCACCGCCGTCCACACAGATAAATCATATACACAAGAAAATTAGGATGAACAAATATTAATGTTTTATGTGTCGTGGAACGAGTGAACGACTCGTGTTTTCACGGAGCCCTGCAGGACAAAAACACTTTCCAGACTGTGATGCTAAAAGCAAACCCTCGAAACTTTTATTATGGAAATTAAGAAAATGAAACCAGTAATTCATAAACGACCACATAAACTAACAGGCATTCAAAGGGTTTAAATCCTGAAAGTGTTTTATTTTTTTATGATCAAGACTGATGTGGGTCAGTAATTATCCCGTCAAAGTGAGAAATGATATTTTTGATGCAGACATTTTTTGTCATGAAGAGTCTGAATCTGTTTTTGAATAAAATGACTGATGAAGCGTCAGAATCAGTGTTGTTGCTAAAATCACATTTGGTTTGAAGGCCTGATCGTGACTGACGTGGGTTAAAACTTCAAGATGTTTTTCATTGTTTTTCATTTTTCAAGATGTCATTTCATTAAAAATAATCGATCATCAGAATCAGAGTTTTTGTGAATTACTGACACGTTTCACGTTGTGATGGTCGTAAAAAAAAACACGACAACAATGTCATGTTGACAATATGACATTTTAAGGGTTAAAATCCTGAAAATGAAAGAACATTTGGTTGAACTATGATCAGGACTGATGCTGGTTAAAATACATTTAACAAGGAAAAGTGGAAGATTAGACTTTTACTGTCTGTTGATGCAGAAATGTTGCTTCTTCACACCATCGCTCAGTGTTGCTCAAAGCGAACTAAAGTCTTCACGGTGCTGATGTCTGAATACATGACTTTTGAGTGAACAATGATTTATTTCAGTTTTTAAATGAGTGCATCAAAACCTTCTTTTGTTTTAGCAAAGATTCAAATTCTTTCAGCACTCAGCGACTGGATGTCACAGCTGAAGTCCAAACCCAGCCCAGAACCGACCTTTAGAAACCATCTGAAGAGCAGAACAAGTCCAAAGCCAGCCTAAGTCGAACTCATCTGATGCCACTCACAGACTCAACTTCTAGAACCAACCAGCAGGTGTCGCTGTCTGACTGCTGCAGTTTATGTAAAACCTGCTAACACCACAGAGACGGTAGACTTCTGCCTCTTTCTTGGCTTCTCAGTACCCGGCTGAGCTGCTGCTGTAACATTCAGATGGAAATTAGACACTAACCCAGTAAAGTGAGATGCTCAAAGATGGCGCCGGTGAGTGCGGCGGCCGTCCAACCTGCTCCAGCACCCTGACAACTTTTTTTTTGTTGTTATTTAACTTTTTATTTATCTTGCTCACCATGTCATGTCCTGGTCGTATCACATACGACAGAGACACACTGGTGAACACTGGTTTATCACTACGATACACCACTACGATACCCAGCGAGATCCTGCAAGGGCCCATCAACAACAACAACAACGCAGGACGCCGGCAGGCCCCAAGAGAAACGAGCCGGCATGAGGAACAGGCTGAGGCTACGAGCACACCGACCACCACTGCCCAGCATCCTGCTCTCCAACGTCCAGTCCCTGGACAACAACCTGGACGAGCTCAGAGCCAGGTTCAGGTACCAGAGGGACACAAGAGACTGCAGCATCCTCTGCCTGATGGAGACATGGCTGACCCCCACCGTACCGAACCACGCCGTTCAACCAGCGGAGTTCTTCACAGTTCATTGTATGGACAGAACGGCTGAGGCGGGGGCGTCTGTCTCATGACCAACAACAACTGGTGCAGAGATGTTGTGTCTGTCTAAGTCCTGCTCGCCCAACCTGGAACTTTTAACCATCAAATGAGGGCCTTTCTACCTCCCCCAGGAATTCACTTCTGTTATTTTCAGCGCCGTCCAGGCTAAGCACCGGGAGGCAGCCCTCATCGTGGCCGGGATTTTAACAATGCCAACCTGAGGAAGGTGATGCCAGAACTTTGCCAGCACATCGCCTTTCCCACCAGAGGAGACAGAACTCTGGACCACTGTTACTCTCCCTTCAGAGACGGCTATGCAGTGAAGACTCAGCCACCTGCTTCTTTCTGTCTTATCTGTATCCAGCTGCTAATGTGTGAACTGAGGGATCAATAAAGTTTGATCTCATCGTAGCTTTCTGACAGACCTTCTGTCACACGACACCTGCAGCCAAAGAACCGCTTCAAGTCCACGTTCTGTTAGAATGTGGACTCAACAACCCGTCGCTCATGTTCGTTCTCTTGTCAGTTCTGTGATGTTTCTACTCTCAGAAGATAAAACATGATGAATATATATATAACAGACCATAATAACAGAAAACTGTCTCATTTTGGACTCTCTGTTCTGACTTTTGGTTGAATTTAAGGGAAACTGCCACAAGACCTGATGACTCAAAGGGTTAAAGCAAATCCTCAGAAACAAGGTGTTGAAACTCATCCTGAAGCAGAGCAGGAGCCAGAAAAGGACGTTAACGCTTTATTTGAATGATCTGATGGTTTACAGGAATTAAGTGCAAATATCACAAATGGAACAACGGCGCCGACTGCTGGCGTAATATGGAAATACCCAAATGAGAAACGGACTGGGAAGGAGGGACACCAGAATGAAACGCACAGGCTGTTTAGACTCAATCAGGAGAATCTGAAGCTGTTTAAACAGGAAAACTAACCAGAAGCTCAGGAAAGCTGTCAGGGAATGAACTATAGCAACAGCATCGATGCTAACGCGCAGCCAAGGAAACGCTGAGCAAAGAATTACACAATGAGTTAAAGCACTGGAGCCCAAAATGGAATCACACATGGCCAGAGGCATCACGTATCTGGCAGGTGGCGGAGAGCGGACAGGGGGGGCGTCGGAACCAGGATCCAGGTGGAAGTGAGTCAGCGGAGAACCAGACAGAGGAACAGAACCAGAGCAAAGCTGGCCTGAGTTGAGGAACTGTTGAGTTCATCAGTTTAGTGTCGAGCGATGATCCAAATCCTTCGTCTATGGCAGGTGATGACAGCGGACAGGTGTCCTCGTTCAGCAGACTGTCCAATAGGATTCACACGGGATGGGAAAGGAGGCGCTCAGGTGGAGGACAGCTGTTGGTTCAGGTGTCCAGATGTTCCTCATGTGGAGCTCAAACCCAAAGTTGCTGAAAGAAACTTTTATTGTTGAACATGTCAGTGAACCAACAGGAACCTCTCATTGGTGCTGAGTTCTAAACAAACACTGTTAGAACTCAGAAACGATTTGATTCAGTCGTACAGATTCTGAATGGATGGCTGATTGTTGTGTTCATTGGATCTTTATGGGTCCAATAAAATGTCCAAATGACATAAAACCAGTAGAAAATGACTCAAAACCTTTAAAATCCTCCAAATTCAGAGACTATTTGATCAACTTGTCCAATGTGAGCCATTCTGAACCGATGACATGATGAGAAACAACAGAGAACGTTTCAGGTTCTTCAATCGTTCCTCAGATGTTGTCGTTCAAACAGACTCCAGATTCTACCTGAGAAGAACAAACGTGTTTGAAGCATGAATCTGAAATTTCACAGGTGTGCTTTTAGATCTGCAGAGTTTATGAGCAGCAGGTCAGAGCTGGAGGGAGCTGGCGGTCTGAGGGAATAATCCAGGTGAGAGCAAGCTGAGCTCTGATTGGTCGTCACACGTAGATGTCCTCTGCCTCCACGGGCTCTGTGATTGGTGCTTCCACGGACCCAGGAGGATGACATGAAACTTAGAGGAGAAGCGAACTGTTAGCATCATTCTCTGCTGTCAATCTGCTGCTCATGTGTTAGTGCCGTTACCGTAGAGAGACTCCGCCTCCGTCTCCTGCTTCGCCGCCACCCCATCCTCCTCTTTGTTGCCACGGCGACCGTACATCGCCACGTAGACGTTCTCCTCCTTGTGACCTGAAGCAGGCGAGCAGATTGTAAGTTGCTGATCTGAAACCAGGTGTCAGGCTGCCTCTGATTGGCTGCTGTACCTGTGAGGGCGGTTCTCTGGCTCCTCCTCCTCCTCAGGATGAAGATGATGACGATGAGAGGCGGCAGCAGGAAGAGCAGGAGGAGGCAGGAGATGAGGGCCGACCCCCCCGCACCGCTGCTCACATCTGCAGACACACAGCAGCTCACAGTGACCCCATTTATCAGAAACAATCACCTCAGTCTCAACTGTCTGACGGTCCTTAAACGCATCATCTGTTCAAACCTGAGCTCCAAATCATCACTTTACCCTCAAAATACAGTTTGATCCAAACAGATCCTGGAAAACTGAGTTTCCTCAGAGAGACTGAGAGGAACATCCAACCTGCTGGATCAATGAGTAGATGCAGCACGGATCAGAACCAGAGAACAGAGGAGCCAGTTGGTGGAGATACATTCAGCTGATGGTGGAACATCTTTCT